CCCCCCCCCCCCCCCCCAAGCAGCTGAGCATCTCCTTGTGCCCAAGGGGTTTGCATGACGGTTCCAAAACGAAAAACACAAAAATCACCTCCAAACGATCACGGGAAATGCAATAAACCCCCTTTTTCCTTTTTATTGTTTTTACTTTCCCCCTGGCGCGGCAATGACGGAGAAGCGCCAGACTACCCGTGTTCCCTTTTTTTTATCGTGTACATTCCTCTTTTATTCACCACTCCATAAAAAAAAAAAAAAAAAAAAAAAAAAAAAGACCTCATTCGCTGACGAGGGGTATTCCGCTGCAGCTGATCCACGCCACGCCACATGTAAACCCTCCCCGGTCTTTGCTGAGCAAGACTGCACATGCCAATTGCCAGCCTGAACATCATTCGGCTGCAAAGCCATTGTGAATTCATCGGCCATCGCAAAACCTAAAACGTCGTCTTTATTTGTCTGAAGAAAAATCCCAAAAGAGCCATTGTAAAGCAGGGCAAAGAGGACGCGGAAGTGTTAGGGCTCTTTCTCCGCCCGGGAAACACACAACAAAAACACACCGGCTCCCTAGCGCGCGGAGAGGTCGCAGAATTTGCCACGACCTGAGAGTGCAAGTGCGCAGAAAACAAAAGTAAAAGCTAGGAAAGCCTGTGGAAGGATGATGGGCATTGAGAAAAAAAAAAAAAAAGGGGGAAATCGGTCAGAGTCACAAAATGGTATCATTCACTTGAAATTATCCACACACTTCGTCTGTGCATAACAACAATCAAATATATATATATTATAATAATAGTAATAAAATAAAGAGAGAGAGAGAGAGAAAAAAAGGATCATCGAATATCCATTACTCTTGGATGACCTCAAATGTCCCATCATCAGGAATGCTGTCTTCCACCTCTGGTGATCCCTCAACACGACCCATCGGATGGTGTTGTCCTTTATTTCGTTTAGCATCTTTCTTCTTGCGACGGAAGTGGCCCTTTCTATTTTCATGGCGCATATGTGGTGTATCCTCTTCGTTGATGGATGTCCCTAGTGCCTTCTGCATCTCCTGGAGAAGTGTCTTGACATCCGCATGAATAGAGAGTGTGTCCGGTGGTATTGAAACTTCATTCACGGGCTCTACTGTAATACCCAACGGTGCCCGCGGTACTGCGTTTGCGTTCATAAGGATGCTATCACCTTCATCGTCGCTCTTGTCAGTAGAAACCGAGGCAACGTGATGGGAAGAGCCCTCCCCGGAAAGACAACTGCCAAAGAAGTTGACGTCCAAGCCCTGGTCGTCCCCAACGTTAAGAACATCGTCAGGAAATTCACGAAAATCATCAGCTAGCAAATGCACCTGCGGCATACTTCCGTCAACCAAAGGACTAGGGACGCTGTTAGCCGCCACAAGAGGTTTTGTGGTCGAAGGAGTCAAATGAGACATCGGGGGCGCAAATTTTGTTTTTGGATCGGAAGGCGATGGTGATGTGAGTGATGCTTTTGGTCTCACTGCCTCACCCGGATACGCCTTCCTCTTTCCGGGGCCGCCGCTAGATCCACTGCTGCTCCTCTTTGCTCTTGCATCAGATCCCTCCTCCTCCTCCTGGATGTCGTTAAAAAAGTCCTTTGCAATGCCGTTTTCATCTTCCTCCACGTGATGATAAGCCCGAACGCCACTCACAACATTCAACGGAGGAGGGCCTCGAACCTCGCCTCCCTGCAGAGCATCACCCCCACCCCCAGGCAATGAGCGGAAGGCCGTTTCTGGCGTTTCCTTTCCTTTCCCCTGTGCCCCGTGTTGTTTTTCCTTCTCCAGCAAGTGTAGCCTGGCTCTTTCGCTAAGCAGCCACGCCCGATGTTCCTCAACAAACTGAAAGTACGCGTGAATGCGACCCTCAAACGTCAATACCTTGAGAAGCGAATATGGAATCTCAAAGGCATTGCGGAGCAACTCCATACCATGACCCGTTGCGGCGCTAATACTCACCCATGTCGCCGAAATAGAGTACTCCTCTGGTGGCAAGCGACCTGCAGACGCGGCCAATATCATGGGTGTTGTGGCCCGTCTAATACTCTTGCAAGCAGCATCAACGTCACCATCTGAAACAACATGCGCATCTCTGGGCGCATCATAAAAGTTGAGAATAAAAAGAACGCATGTATCCGGTGGAACATGACGCGCCTCACGCACGGCATAGTCCAGAGTCTCCTTCCGAGTTCGATCAATGACAAAAGCTGCAAGGTGGCACCCCCTGTAGACATCAATCGAACGTGCGTCCGCCAGGGTTGGGTGTGTTGTTATAGAAGCCGATTGAGACGTGCTGATTCCCTCATCAACCACATCCCATAATTCCACCTTGGCACCGCCACCACCACAATTTCCCGTCCTCCCTGCAGTGCCACGATAAAAAAGGGTGTCCGCGGTGATTTCTGAAGAGGGTATGTAACTGGTAGGCGGCGAGCAACCACAGAGACGTGAGACGATAGTGGACTTCCCCGTGCGCCGCATCCCACGCACAACGGCCTTCATGTTCAAATGCGACCCCTCTTGTATATCACGCTGCACATCGGAGTTCACAGGCCAGATGTTCGGTCCACCACAGGTGGAGTCTCTTTGTAACCCTCCATGGGTAAAACCGTTTCTCCCGCTGCGTGCTGGAGATGAGTTATTCCCCTTTTGAAAAACGGCCCTCACCTTAGTGAAGAAAGACATGTTATGCTCAAATAACAAACCTCGTCAGTTTCTTATGTGGCAAAAACAATGACAGTGAAAAAATCATACAGAAAAAAAATACATCAACGTGCATATTCAATATCCTGGGGCGACGCTCACCCCCATCTCGCTGTACGTGGCTGAAAAACACAACATGGAAGGACGCACTGACACCTTGCCCCATACAGAAAGTAATCCGTTGCCGGAAATCGTCTGTGCCAATACACCACCAATTAAGAAAAAAAAAAACATCACAGTAGTGTACACAGCTTTTTCTTTCTCTTCTTTTCACTTTTTTTTGGCTCCCTCAAATCCACACGCCTCACCGACTGGGTTCCCTGTCTCTTAGCGTTAGCGGCATGAATTTCGTTGCTATTGAGGTTTGAAGACGTTTTCCCTGAGGCACTCGAATTCCGTGCCGGCTCTTCGTTTAAACACATACTAGCCGTGTATTCAAAGAGCTGCGTCACGTTAAAGTCATCCTTCGTGGACACGCGAAAAAATGGCAACTGAAGTTGTATCGCAAGTTGTTCAGCCTCCTCATTCGTGACGGCCGCCTCGTGCGCAAGGTCAAACTTCGTCTGGCAAAGAACCATTAAAATGGATCCGCACACATTCTCAACGTTTTTCTTCCAGCTCTCAACATTCATAAAGCTATCCTTGTCGACGGTACTAAATGCCACTATTGCCGCGCCAGCCCCACGATAATACGCCTGTGTGAGGGAATTGAACACCTCCTGCCCGGCCGTGTCCCAGAGCATGAGCTTCACTGTCGTGTTGGATTGGCGTAAGAATACATTTTTCTCCATGAACTCGGCACCAATGGTCTTCTTGTATTGGTTCACGAACTCTCCCTTGACAAATCGCCGCAGCATTGATGTCTTGCCCACATTGCCGTCCCCCACTACAATCACCTTGATGCTGTTTTCCACACACTCTAGCATGACCTTCTCCCTACTGGCACGGCACCGTTGGCCAGCCCCCGTGACCCCACCCCTTCCGCGCCGCCGTTCAAAAGGTGAGCCCCAACAAGACCCCGAACAGGGCGGGCACCAAACAATCTCACAGAGGTAAAAAGAAAAAAGAAAAATAGAAAAATAATACACCCATATGTATTGCCCCTTTCCCCTCCCCCCGGCACAATAAAATAAGGGCGGAAAAAAGGCGGACAGCAGAAAACCTCGCATCCGCAAATCAATAAATGTCATCAAATAGATTCTGGAATACAAATAATATTAGCCTCAATGTGGAAAAGTGGTTAAAAGTCAGCATTCCCACTGAAATTTGTATCTCACAAAGCCAAACCACCAATAATAATTTGGTCCAATATATATATATATATAAATATATATATATATATTTAGGAGTAAAAGAGACTGCACCATCAAGAAGTAAATACGAGTCTGTTTTCACAACTAAAACTGGCATTTCTCCACTAAACTTCTCGTTGCATCGTTCAGAGACGCAGGCATGTCAACAGCAATTGTGACATACATATCACCATTTCTTCCTGTCTTCCTATCGGGGAGTCCTTTACCGCTCACTCTCAACTGACGGCCATTTTTGCTCACTCCTGTCAGTGGCAATGCTGTAGTGGTTCCATCGAGACCCAAGACATTCACTGTTGTCCCCAATAGTGCCTGTTTCAAGTTGATATGGACCGTCGTGCGGATATCTGCACCACTGCGCTCAAAACGAGGATGAGGCTTCTCATCAAGAACAAACACCAAATCTGCCAAGACGTTCGGTGGATATCCCTGCACAATACCTCCCTCTTGCACAAAGCGGATCTTCGTGCCCTTTTTGTACCCAGGAAGCACCTTCACCTCAAAAATCTTTTTTTCTGTACCCCCCGGCATATGACGTGAGACATTAAACTTTTTCGTGCACCCCGTATAGATTTCCTCCAAGGTACATGCAAAGGTGTACTCAACAGGAGGCACTTCATTCATAGGCGACATCTCCGGCGATCCAAAGCCCGAAGTAAACCCTTGTGGACCGCCAAACCCTCGAAACACTCGGTGAAGACCAGGACCACCACCACCGAATTCCTCCCCACCTGCGAAAGGATCGCTGCTGCCAAAGAACGACCGAAAAATATTAAACGCATCGCCTTGTGAAAAAGTGTACCTCACGCCACCGGGAAAAGCACCATGAAAACCTGCGCCTCCAGCACTGCCACCTTCCCCAGCCCCGGGAACGCCGCCCTTCAGTCCCTCCTCTCCGTATACATCGTAAATTTTCTTCTTATTTTCGTCACTCAAAACATCATAAGCCTCCGAAACCTCCTTGAAACGCCGCTCCGATTCCTCCCGATTACCGGTACATTTATCGGGATGATACTTCAAAGCCAGCTGATGATAGGCTTTCTTGATATCACTCGGCGTAGCGTTACGACCAACACCAAGAACCTTGTAATAATCAATTCCCATGTTTTCAACAACACGCCAATCTACCCATATAGCAAATAAAAACATGGAAAGACAAAAAAAAAAATAAATCCCGGAATATGTAAGTGCATATCAGTTACATCCCAACGACGCACACACCCACTCTTTTATTTTATTCTTTAATCTGACCGCCACATGCAGACTCCCACCCTCAGCTGGCATAAGCAAAAACTTCGCGTCCTCCCTCAAAAATAATAATAATAATTAATTTTAATTGTTTGTTTTTTCTTAAAAAGATTCGGTGGCCTGCACGCTGTACCGTGCCCCAGCACGACGCCGCTGGCCCGGGTGCTGATTGATTCCGTCAGCGCTGCCCCAACAACAAACCTGCCGTGAGGGAAACGTTGCTTTTTCTCAGCTTTCCTCCGACAATACGGGGCAATTGACCGTCGCAGCACGAGGAGGCAGTTAACCACAAAATCACCGGGGTGCTCATGTCCTTTTGGTCGGCCTTACAAGAGGCCAGCGCAAAAATTACTTCTTCTCGCTCCACGATGGATGGATCCCTGCTGACCTTACCACTCGTCCTCACCAAAAGCTTCCATTTATTCTCCGACTTCAAACGCATGGAGAATACAACGCTCTTCCCCTCTTCCTGCCCACGGCACTCATGGGAAACACGGGAGTGCCGTCCTTCGTCTCGACACTCGGTCCTCCGCCACCAATCAACCTATTCAAGGAGTGTCAATCTCCTCTGACCTCAGGGTTCAGTTCATGGGCCTCATTCCATTGGATTTTATTGTCAGATGCCTTCAGCCATTATTACCGGCCACTTGAGTGCCAGACTTTTTATGGCTGTAACTTCCAGAAGCAGTTGGATGCTGCCGCCAATTACAATTCTTTTTGGCCGCATCATTCCCGTCGCCTCGAAGCCATCCGCAGCAACACCCCTGAGCAATTGTGTATAACAAGTTTACATCCACCGTCGAGATCTCCGTTGACTCAACAATTTCCCTCGGGCTCCTTCACGCAATCCCCGTACGGCTGCCGGCCCCGCAGTCTTCCCTGCACCGCGCCTCAGCAGTGGCAAATGCACCGCCGTTCGCTTCAACAGGGGCGGGAACACGAAGCAGGCAGGCTCCTCCAGCAGCCTCTTTCATTTTCCCTCATTTGACAGGAGATATCCGTGTCGTCCCTGCGAATAGATCAACGGGATTCCTTTAAGTAATTCTCTCAGCGCGCGCAGCTCCACGCAATGATCTCACCAACACGACGGGGGGAGCAGCACCGTGGAATTGAACACATGCCCGAGCATGCTGGGTTGTCGCTGTGCTCACCCTCTCTTCATTCCATCCTCCTTCCGCTGGATCCGGCCACGCGGCGACGGCCGTGCGTGCGCGTGTGTGTGCTGTTGGTCCTTCCGGAGCCATTAGAGTGCGCAGTAGCAATTCGCGCCCGGTCCCAATTTCCTTCTTCGTGTGCATCTCCGAGAAGTGAAGAGAGAAAAACAGACATGCCAAGAGAAAACAGGGTAATGCGGAAGGCGTCAGGGAAGAGAAGCGAGCACTGCCACCATCCACAGTGAGTCACATCGTCGGCCTTGCAGCCAATATCACCCACAACCGTTCAAGCCTCCAGCCACGCACACACACGCAGACAACGGCGTCAGCCGCCACGGATCGTGTGCAGGCGTGCTCATGTGCAAACACAATGTGTGCAGTCACTCCGCATTGTTGTCCGGCAACCCACACACCGTATGCTGCTGGTGTGATTTTGTACCGCACCAGTCAGAAGCCACGACCTGACACATAAAATACGCCGCGGCTCGAAACACGCATCTGCCCCTCAAGGTGGACCCATACTCTCCAGCTGTGAGGTGTTACCTGCCCAAAGCCCCAGTATCCAAGTAAGGGCTTATAGCAGGGCAGTCAATGCATGGCGTACGCCCCGTGCCTCCGCCCTCGTCACGAGTTTCAATGGAGCCCCGCACCCATCCACGCAGCAGCCTCCGCCCCGCCCGGAAATGGAATGCAAACAGCACCCCAGCACCCGTGCAGAAAGAAAGGCATCCGCCTGGGGCCAAGCAAAAAAAAAAAAAACGCCATAAACCCTTTGCACATTTGAGAGCAGCCCGTGAGAGTAAAGCGCTGCCCAGGCAAGACACTCATGGCAGGAGACTTGCCGGGAAACTTCTCTCCGCCAGGTCCCCATTCAAAGCACACGACGCACCGGCATAGACAATAGAAATGGCACCACTTGTGCAAGCACAAGCCCGCCAAAGAAACGTGCAAGAAAGAGACAAACTACCGGTTGACAAGCACCTCCTCCCAATAGCTGCCGTCCACGCAGCCAAGACGTCAGGGGCAATCCTTCGGGTGATTGCGACGCCGACCCCAATAATCATGAAAGCGGCCCTCACATGTCGACCAGTCAGCCATCCCTCACGGTGTGTCCACGCACAAAACACCCTACACACACACGTGGTCGCATTGGAGACGCAGCAACCCTCCAGCCTGTCTTCACCCGCACCCGGAGCATCTCCCACACGTGTCGCGCAGGTGTCTTGTCCAGGCGCCCCCTCCCCCCGCAGAGGCATTTTTGATCCGACGTCGTCAACCGGGTTCCGGCCTCCGAGAGGGCAGAGCCTCCGCCCCCCGCTCTCAGCTGCGCCCATGCGGTTGGACAGTCGGCCAGCCCGCCTGAGGTCCAAGCAAAAAAGCTTGTGTGATGAAGTGCTGCTTTCCAGTGCATGCCGCGGCAACCGCCGCCCACCTCTATTTGAATGCCCGCCACCCTTTTTCACCAGCGGCTTCGGTCCCAACTCAGCAGCTGCCTCCCGCACCGCAGGCTGGGAAACGTCATGGGCAGAAAATGCCACTCACTCACCCCGCCCTGCAGCCGAGTGATGGTGGGTGCAACCTCCCAACGTGGGAGCAGCTTAGTGGCTCGGGCGCCGTAAAAGCCGCGTCGTCTCCATTGCAAATTTCCCACCGTGCCCGGTAGAAGGAGCACCGGGTACGAAGGCGCAGTGCACACCAAACGAGTTATAGGAGTGTGTCCTCCAAAGACGGCGCTGTAGAGGCACGAGACGGTACAGATGCGGGCTAACGGGACACGTCGTGTCATGGCATTGCCCGCTCCTGTGGCACCGACAGTGCACACGCCCTTCAGCACCGTGTTTGACACAACCCTACAATCCTACGAAACTCCAACTTTGATGAAGGTAGGAAAGGTCTCATTGCCAATGTGCAGGAATATACGTTCTGCCAAACGCAGCCCAATGCCAATCCACTGGGAGGCCGCAGAGGGCGCCAAAGCAAAGCTTCACAAAGACGCAAGCAAAAAGACTATGAAGGCTCCCGTTCCCCCCTACCAAGCACTTGACAGACAGCTAAGAGAGAGAATGGAAAAGAAAAATATGTTCAATTCGCCTAATCGTGCAAGGCATTCACATCGACCGTGTTCCTTCCACAATCCTGCGCAAATAGATTCACGAAAAAAAGCAGTACGAACGACAAGGTGAATCACCAAAGCATTTGTTGGGGCAGCTTAAAAAAAAAAATATAAAAAAAAAAAAGAGCGCCGACAACAAAAATTTACATGAAACCCTTTTACATCTCCACTAAGAATTACATCCAATACATTTGAGCGGGTCGCGTGTGCGGAACCAATGGGAGCCTACTACCATCTGCAGCGGTAAAACAAAGACATAACGCAGAGTAAACGGCAACACACATTCCCCAAGTTACCTGAAGCGACGAGCACGGACAGTAACAATCGAATCATCCGTCGAAAAACGCGGCTCGTCGGCCGTAAAAGCATGCACCTCGACAGAATTACTTTGCGACGCCGCCTCCCCGAAGCGCCTAGCATGGACCTGCTCCCCACCCCTCCTCCCCCACGTACCAGAGGCGGTATCATGCGCAGCAGGAGCGGTTGCACTCAGCGTGAACGACATATTTTGGTCAATACCCAACTGGCCCTTCCGTTCCATCACGCTGCTCATTTTTACGGCCAGTCGATCAATCACCAGACGGCAGTACTCCTCATCCTGCAAAAAGCTCGGCCTCCGCGGCAACCGAACGTTCCAACGCTCGCAAAGAGGCATCAGCGCCTTCAGCCGCTGCCGGGGTGCCAAGGTTCCGTATGTCACCGTCAAAACGGACACGACGGCTTGAGCGGTGCCGGTCCGTGCGCTGTACATAGAAACATCTTCACTACTTTCGAAATCACTGCCATCGTCAAGATCAGGCATCTCACGATCAAGACGCAGCGCGGCGAAGGTGCGCCCGGGCACGGCGTCCAGCTGGTACATCTCCACCGGAACCGGCACACCACGCAGTGCCACGCCGCCAAGTGCAGTCACCTCCACCTGCTCACGCTCAGCCGTGCTCAGCGACATGTACGCCGCACGCGTCAGCAGCACCTGCCCGCCGTTCCCAACGCTCTCCGTGCGCGCGGCCATGTTCGACGTCCCGCCGTAGTAGTCGTACCCCTTCGTCACCTCGTCGCGCCGGATGTCACACAGCCCGGTGTGCACACCGACTCGCACGCGCAGGCCGTTCCAGTACTCCCGATACACAGCAGCGTCAAGGCGCGCGGTCGGCGGAACGTACTCCTCGTCATCCTCGGCACGGTCCTCCTCGAACTTGTGGTATGCGTCGTCGATCACGCTCGTCCCCCAGTCCTGCTGCAGAAACGCCTGCTGCAGCTCCCGCACAAGCTGCACGGCGGCGAACACACTCTTGCACGCAATCATGAACGAGTCGCCGATCGTCTTTACCTCGTAGCAGTGGTACTTCGCTATCAGTGAGCGGATCAAGCGGTGGTGCGTTGCCACGGCGTCGGGCATCGCCTCGGGGCACGCAGCCCACAGCGCAGTGCTGCTCTCGATGTCAGTAAACACAAGCGTCACGGGGTCTGTCCGCTCCTTCGGTGCATTCTCGTTGTCACGCGAGTCGCGGCAGAAGTGCAGCAGCAACAGAATCAAGGCAATAAGCAGCAGGGCAGCAACAACGCTGCCGACGATGACGCCGATCAGCTGCCGCGCCGTCAGTCCACTCGCAACGGGCATCCGGTACTCCATCGACGGCGTCACGGCAGGGGACAGCACCGGCACAGCGGGGTCCAGCGCACGGGCAAGCGACCACACAGAAATTTGCGTCGCACCGTAGTTCCTGCCGCACCCAGCACCGCTCTGAGTAACAGGGCATGCATTGCCATCAATGAAGGGTCCGTACAGCATGTCATCCACTCTGACGGCAACGTTGGAAAAAAAGAAGTTTTCAAACAGCTCAACACTCACCTTCTCCATGCGCGAGCGGACGGTCACCACCAGCAGCCCGGTGGTGAAGCCCATCATTGCCAGCGGCGTCCGTTGATTGACGTCCGGCACTGCAGCGTTAAACTTCTGGGCGGTCACCGACGTCGTTTTGTCGTCGTTCCAGTGCGGCAGGTTCGTCGCAAACACAACACGGTCGGCACCCGCACCGTCACGGAACGCAGCAACAAATTCGGGGTACAGCATCGAAAACTCTAAAAAAATGACAAACACGCGCACACCGTCGTGTGACACCACGTGCTGCGCGATCGCACCAACATCGTCGGCAGAAATGCCCACCACAAGCACGTCGCCTTCCTCCGGCAGGTGGTCCGCCATCTTGTCGCCGCCAGCCAGCAGCTTAGTAGACAGCAGCGAACCGCCAAACGTCTTCAGCGACAGCCGCAGCACCTCCGCCATCGTGGCTCCATCGTCGCTGCGAATCACAGCGTGCGCCGAACCGTCACTCATGTTCCCGAGGTACTCCGCAATCACAAAGAACTGCTGCTCCAGTGTCGGCAACAGGCGGATCACGTTTTTCCTGAACCTACCAATGCGCGACTGAAGGTACATAGGGTTGATAAACGCCACATCCTCCACCTCCAGCATCCCCTTCGTCACCACGCCAGTAACAACATCAAGCAATTTCACCTTCAGTTCTGACACAAGCGCAGCGGCAGCCCCGTCCACAGTAGAATTCACGACTTGCACTGTGAACGCAAAACGCCTAATAAGACTGTTGTTATTCACCGCAGCTCTCGCACCCACCCCAAAAGCTCGAAGTGCAAAAATGGCAAGGGGATTATCCCGCATTGCAATGGCAAACCCATTCAAAGGAGGAACAATCACTGCTTCCGAGGGGTTGCACTGCCATGTCCAGAATGAGATTGTTCCGTCAACCAGCGGGTCGGCACGGTAGCCCTCCACAAACTTTTTCATGTACACGGTCCGGCCACCTTGGTTGCAGTAACACATGGCGCCCTCTGATTCAGCCACCCCTTGGCAACTGCCTCCGTAGTCGCCAATCACAAGGTTGTCGACCATATAACGGCGTTGGTTGTACAGAGACGCCAAGTACGCGTTACGGTTCTTTGCCCATTCACGACTACTTAGGGTCTGTGAAAGTATCTCGCCCGCTATCCACCCTGCAACCATCATCTCGCCCTCAATATCATCGTCGGGGAAGTTCTTGCGGATACTACTGCTTTCCGGCAAAAAATCTCCATAAAGCGCCGCATCACATCCTGAAAGCGCCGGATGGCGGCGTACTG